TCCTACATATCAACCCACTTTATCCCTTGTCTTTCACCACACACAACCACTCATTTACCTTGTTGCTGTTGATATTTCTTCTAAAGACACTCCATACCGTCGATTTTCTAAAAGCTTTTGTGTAAGCCAACCTTCTTACATAGTATATCACCAACCTCAAGATCTCTACGGATAAAAAGAGAGGAAAACAATCTACTTTCTTCAATTCACTCTTCGATAATATCATCACAATGCCTAAGACTAAGACCAAGTCTAAGGCTGCGGCCGCTCGAAAGAATCCTTTGGGAACTCGCTCTTCCCAACGCATGAAGAATTCCGAGCCAGCTCGTCGAGTTAAAGAGGAGCAAGCTCAGCATGTTGAAGACCCTAATGATGATCACTCTCAAGACCCTCAGCCAGTCACAGGCAGTCAGCCCTCCAGCGACTCTGGGGATAGCCCATCTACCATGGGCAGCCAATCCCCCAATGGTTCCCCTAACACCGAGAGCCCCATTCTGGAGCCTGTTGGAACAAGCTCATTGACCCCAGCTTCTCGTGCCGTTGCTGGAGAAGTACCATCCGGCTGGGCCTATCAACTTGTACCGAGAGGTGGTCAGTATGGAACAGCTGGTGAAATTGCCAATAGCATGTATGGTGACGAACTCAACAATGACAGCGCTCTTTCTAGCAGACTCAGCAATGAGCGTGCCCTTCGACCCGTACGACAGCGTCGTCCCGAGACACATCTCAACATGGATCGACGCAGCAACGTTGAGGCTTTCCTTGCCCATCTCACTGGTGTCCCTGTACATCGAGCGTGCAAGAACTGCGCAAAAGGCCACGGACCATGGCACGAATGTATCATCTATGATGGCCAGATGTGTGGCAGCTGTACCAACTGTTGGTACAACGCCAGCGGCTCTCGCTGTACTTTTCATGGTAAGTTCACTTTTCCAATTCTGCCCCTTGGTGTCGTAATCAAAACATAACGAAGAGCAACACTAACAAATAATACAGAGGTCAACCAGAATTCCATGTTCGCCCCATCCCCTGTCTACACGCCGGATTCTTTGGGAATGCCTTCAGTGTACACGCAACCTTCGCGCACGCTTTCCTCGCCACAAGGAGGTTCCGCGGTCAACAATTCTGCCCACATTGGTGGCTCTGCTTATGTCAATCAAAATTCGTTTGCTCAGCAGCATGCACCTCTCGCGGGCCTGCAGAGTCTCGGCCTGAACACGGGCAACTAGCAGTTGCCCAGCCAAACTAGCACCATGGTCGTCTCATCCATAAACAGTGGTATTTCGATGAATCCGATGGAAAGAATTCTCCGTCGAATCGAAAGTAC